TTAAATGCTTTTTCTACATCAGTTGATATGGATCTCTCATTGTCTTTCTTCAGCCTGTTAATATGGCAAATTATATTGATTGGTTTTTGAATTTTTGAATCAGCCTGCACCCTTGGAATACACCTCCGTTGGTCATGTTTTTATATATTTCTGAACTTTATTTGCTACTCTTTGTTAAGGATTTGCTTTTCTGTTTATGAGAGGCATCAGATTGTTGTTTTCTTTCTTTTTTTGGTACTGGTTTTATTTGGTTTTGGAATCAGGGTGATACTAACTTCACAAAATGAATTGAGAAGTGGCCCCTCTGTGTCCATTTTCTGGAAGCAATTGTGTAGAATTGCTCTTCATTCCTCTTTAAATTTTGGTACCATTTTCCATTGATATCACCTGAACCTGAAGACTTTTTGGGGGGGTGTCTTAAAATGACTAATTCAATTTTCTTACTAGTTTATAAGTCTACGAATTATGGTAGTTTGTGGTTTTCAAGAACCATTCCATCTAATTAGTCAACTTTATGTGTATAATGCTATTTGTGGCATTCCCTTTTATCTTTTTGATATATACTGGATTTATAATTACATTCTATGTTTTATTCTTGCTATTGGTAATTTGTTTCTCCTCTGTCTCTGCTTTTCTTTTTCAGTCTTCCTATATGTTTGTCAATTGCATTTTTATTTTATTTTCTTGATCTTTTCAAAAATCACCGATTTTCTTTATATTTATGTTTTCTATGTCACTGATTTCTGCTTCCAAGTTTATTTCCTTCCTTCTGCTTGCTTTGTTTTTATCTTGCCTTTTTTTAAAGTAAGTATTTGGGGTGGGAGTGTATTTTATTGATTGAAGACTTTTTCTCTTGTCTTAGATAAACATTTAATGCTATGCATCTTCCTTTCAGTTCTGCTTTAGCAGCATTCCACAAATTTTGCTATGTTGCATTTCCATTCTCATTGACTTCAATGTACTTTTAAATTTCCCTCGACACTTCTCCTTTGGCTTGCGGATTACTTGAAAGTGCGTTGTTTAGCCTCCCAATGTATGGATATGTTCCTGTCACCTTTCTGTTACTGATTCCTAGTTTGATTCCACTTTAGTTAGAAAGCACACTCTGTGTGGTTTCAGTTCTGTTAAATTTGTTGAAGTTTGGCCCTGGCTGGGGGGCTCAGTGGATTTGAGTGTCAGCTTGCCAACCAAAGGGTCACCAGTTTGATTCCCAATCAGGGTACATGCCTGGGTTGCAGCGGACCCGGCAGGCCAGGTCCTGAGTTGTGGGTACACAAGAGGCAACCCCATATTGATGTTTCTCTCCCTCTCTTCCTCCTTCCCTCCCCCTCTCTCTAAAAATAAATAAATAAAATCTTTAAAAAAATTGTTGAGGTTTATTTTATGGACTAGCATAAAGCTAATGTTCCACATGTACTTGAAAAGAATGAGCATTTGCTCTTGCTGGGATGTTATAAATGTCAATTAAATCCTATTGGTTGATGGCATTGTTGAGTTCTTAAATGGCTATTTTCTGTCCAGCTGTTCTGTCAAAGGTTGATAGAGGAGTGTGCAAATTTGTCTGTTCTTCTTTCAGATCTATTAGGTTTTGCTTTGCATATGTTTGGAGCTCTTCCGTTTGGTGACACACGTGTTAGGATTACTACGTCTTCTTGATGGCTGAACCCTCTCGTCTTTATGTACCATTTTCTCTCTGTTGTTCAGGTTGCATGGTTTCTACTGCTTTGTCTTTCCTGATTCTTTCCTCTGTCCTCTCCATTCAGTTGCTGAGCCTATCCGCTGAATTTTAAAAATTGGTCATTGCATTATTTGGTTTTGAAATTTTCATTTGGTTCACCTTTACATCTCTTTCTTTGCTGAGACTTTCTACTTTTGCACTTGTTTCAGCTGTCTCCATAATTGCTCATTCAAGCATTTCTATGACAGCTATGTTGAAATCTTTGTTCTATATTTCTGACATCTTTGTCATCTTGGTGTTGGCATCTATTGACCGTCTGTTTTTCAACTGGTTTGTTATTTTCCTGGTTCTTGGTATAATGAGTGATTTGTAATAGAAACCTGGGTATTTGAGATACTATGTATGAGACTCTGGGTCTTATTTAAACCTTTTGTTTTAGGTGGCTTCCTGTGATAAAGATATGGCAGAGAAAAGGGTAGGCACTCCCTCATTGCCTCTGGGTTGGGGTAGAAGTCCAGGATTCCAGTTCAGCCTCTGTCGACACCTGCAGGGGGTTCCTTCTTGTTACTTCTGTGTGAGAGTGAGAGTTCCAGCTCCCTGCTAAGCTTACGTTGATGCCTCCCTGCATGGGGGTGGGGGGTGGCGGCTTTGTTACTTCTGAGTAGTGGTGAAAATCACAATTCTCTGGTAGGCCTCCTCTGACCCCACTGTGGAAAGGGGGAGGGATGCCTCATGACCACTGGATGAGGTGGAGTACAGTCCCCCTACTGGGCCTTCTCTGTCAGTACCCTGGGTAGGGAGGAGAACAGGGCTGGGTGCCTCATTACAGCTTCAGGAAGGGGGAAATCTAGGCTTCCCAGTAGCCTTTGCTGGCCTGGGTGGGAGTGAGGCCACAATGTTTTGTGTGTGGCATTTGGCTATAGTAAAGTGGTTATTGTCTAAAAGTTTTCTGTCTTTTGAGACTGCCCTTTGCCTAGTCCACTTGCTAGAGCCAGTGAACTTTTATTGGCACTTTTCTTTGTCTGCATATATTGGTGTTTCCAGGTTGTTGGTTTCTTCACCTCCAAATCTGAGAATATATGAGGCAAAAAACAAACAAACAAACAAACAAACAAAAAACCAGTGGACTCGCCACTGTATCATTCCTAGTTAGTTTGCTCTCTTTTCTGTCCCTTTCAGAGTCTTGTTACATTTGTTTTGTTTACAATGTCCAGAGCTTTTAGTTGTTCTTAAATGGAGGATTAAGGAGAAGTTTGTCTACTCTTGTCTTTCCAGAAGCGGGAGTCCCATTCACTTAATTTTATTTGCTTTACTCTTACAGGTCAATCCCTTTTCCTGCCTGAGGTCTTAGGGCCCAAGCTTCATTAATCACTCTTGCATAAGTTCTTTTCATGGGGAGAGAAATTAAAATCTCAAGTCTAGAAGAGCTCTGTGCATTAGTGGGAGGGATAAAAAATTCCCATGGCCAAAGATGCACACTGGATACTCTGAATTTGGGGGGGGGGGTTGGTCATTTTTTTTTAGTCCTCACTTGAGGACATGCTTACTGATTTTAAAGGGAGAGGAAGGGAGGGAGAGAGGGGAGAGAAACATCGATGTCAGACAGAATTATGAATCGGTTGCCATTTGCACATGCCCCTACCGGGGACCAAACGCATAGCCTCGGCATTTACCCTGATTAAAATCAAATCTGCAACCCTTCAGTCTATGGGATGACACTCCAACCAACTGAGCCACACCGGCCAGGGCTTGGTCACCTTTCAAGGCCTGGCACCAACTGTAGTGGGAGCAGAGACATTTTATTTTATATTCACTAATGGATGGGTCTTTAACCTCAGGAGGAAAAAATGAGTTGCCATGACATAAGGGGAAGTTTCGCCTAAAGACGCATAGGAATCTGTAAGTGGACACAGGAGAGCAGGACTGGGCTGGGCTGGCCTGGGGGTCCCCTCCAGCTTGGCCTAGTCTTTGAAACATGGTGTTTTGACTTTGACTGTTGAAGTGAAACCCATTTGTGATACTCTTTTAGAACCAAGCTTCTCTAAACTTCTCTCTGCACTGAATCTGCTTCATTAAAAACCTGTTATTTGGGGAAATGTAACTTTGATGTGGAACAACCTGTGTCTTTAATCCAGCTGGACCTAGTTTGGGATCCTGGGTCCATCTTTCTTAGCTGCATGACCTTGAAGTTCATTTATTCACTTAAAAGTAGTCCTGTATTGCCTACTCTGGGCCAGTACCATGGTTGTGAGGGGGTTGGACTAAAGTAGTGGGTACTAGTCGTTGCTCTATTTTCTTCATTTTCAGCCATCAGCAAATTCAGCTGGTTTACTTCAAAAAGATATCCAAAATTGGACTGCTTTTCTCCATCACCTCATTTTTTTTCTCAGGGTGTTTTAATAAGTTTCCTGATTCTGTCCTACCCTCTAATCCTCTGCCTCAATTCATTATCTATGCAGCAGCCAGGGTGATAACTTTGCATTAAATTATTCTCTTGCTTAAAGCCCTCCAGTTACACTCAGACGTACTGAGAATAAGATCCAGCATCTCCCCACGGCCCACTGGGTCACGCATGGTTTGCTTTCTGCTTCCCCTCTGGACCCATTTAGCATCCCTTCTTCCCTCATTTAGTGTGCTTCTGTCACGTCAGACTTTCTTCTTCTACTGCAAATACCAAGCCTGTCCTACCTTAGATTCATTACCCCAGTTATGCTTTCTGACTAGGATAATTTTCCCACACAAGTTTGAATGGCTGGTGCCTTGTTGTTATTCAGATTTTAGTTCAAACACTCTCCCTCCCCTAATCCTGAAGTCACATTCTATCAAATCACTGTGTGTCTCATGCCACTTCTTGTTTAGCTCTTACCACAATTTGAAATTATCTTAATTTGTCCACTAGACCAAGCTTATCAAGAGCAGGAATTGTGCCGTTTCCTTCATGACTGTATGTCCAGTGTCTAGAAGAGTTGCTAGCACAGAACAATAAATATTTGTTAAGTAGTTATTTAATTCTCTTGAGCCTCCGTTTCTTACTTGTCACATAGAGTCATAACTGGCTAATAAAATGAGGTTGTATTTAGAATTGAGATAATAAATGTATATGAAGTGTTTATTACAGTGCTTGGCACATAGTAAGCTGCATAATAGTTTGTAATTGTTTCATTGTGATTTAATATAAAGTTCACCTCCCTTCTTCCATACACCTTCAGTGCCTGTTCTTGCACCTAATGATTTATCTGGGGCACCATGATGATTTGTCAGTGACGGGTGCTTGCCGTTAAACCCTAACTTAGTTCTCTCTTGGCCATGTTTTTCTGTACAGGTCCTGCAGCTGGGCTCAGACATCCTTCCCCAGTACAAGCAAGAGGCACCAAAGACTCCCCCTCACATCATCTTACACTACTGTGTTTTTAAAACCACGTGGGATTGGATCATCTTGATCTTAACCTTCTACACAGCCATCTTGGTCCCTTACAACGTCTCCTTTAAAACCAGGCAGAACAATGTGGCCTGGCTGGTTGTGGACAGCATTGTGGACGTCATCTTTTTGGTGGACATTGTGCTGAATTTTCATACCACCTTTGTTGGACCAGCTGGGGAGGTGATTTCTGACCCTAAACTCATCCGCATGAACTACCTGAAGACGTGGTTTGTGATTGACCTTCTGTCCTGTTTGCCATATGATGTCATCAACGCTTTTGAGAACGTGGATGAGGTTAGTGCCTTTATGGGTGATCCAGGGAAGATTGGTTTTGCTGATGAGATTCCACCACCCCTGGAGGGGAGAGAGAGTCAGGTACATCCCTCAAATCTCAGACCTTGTTGTCATGTCTTTAAAGCTGAATTAAATGTGGGTGGTCAACGGAAGAGTAATTGATGGCGGGGTGGGGGGGACTAGCATGACTAATGTTTGGAACAGAGGGAGCATGATTGATAGACATCTTCGCCCACTGTTCTTGCCTTTGGAGGTTCAGAGGTTCTGCATGTCCATGAATGGGTTGGAAGAGACCAAAGGCTTCCCTTTTCCCCAACGGGGAGTGCATGCCACCGGCTCAGGGTGGTGGGGCTGCGGAAGCAGGCATGCATTGCCCTTGCATTGCTGAATCTTTCACTCTTTATGCATTTATTGAATCTCTACCTATTATGGATTATTCAAATGATGGAGACTTTTCTATCTTCTGTTGCTGACCTTTGGCTGTTTCATTTTAATTAACTTCTAGCAACAAGAATGCTGTTTTCCCCCAAGTTTGCTTGCTTATTTATTTACTTATTCTTGTGGGGGGTGGGTAAATGTTGAAAAAGAATGAGTCATTTCTTTGCTGAACTGAGTTGTCCATACTTCCCTTTCCCTACATTTGCTGAAATAGTCAGCTTGTGGCGTAGAGTGGTAGTGTTACTGGATTACACTGCTTTGGATCGTTAGTCCTGCAGGCAGTAGAAGGAATTAAAAGAAGATAAATGAATGCCCTGTAAATATGTTGGAAGAATCAGGGCATGCTTAAACAGTCAGCGAATGGGTACCTGGAAGATGCTGTAGCAGGAAGGGGCCACTGGGCTGGTTAAAGTGATTTTTTTCCTTTGCAAAAGCAAGGATATCAAGTCATTGCAAAGGCAAATGTCAGATTCTTATCTAGTTTGTGGGAATGGTTCTTCCTTTTCCCTGCTCCTTGGTTGACAGTCCAGATGACTTCAGATAAGGCAGTTTTTCTGGCAAATATTCAAGCTCAGGCAGGAATGGACCCTCATTGCCTGAGGTTACAGAGGGTGCCAGAGGTGTTGGTCTGGCTGGGCTGATGACTGGATGGGTAATTCAGGATGCCCTCTGGAGGCGGAGTCAGGCAAGAGATACTCCAAGGTTTAAATGGCTAGTGGGATCAGTCTTGGGACAGTTGGAAGAAACAGTTAGCTCCCTGCCAGGATAACAGGGCCTGGCCAGTGACTCTGTCTTGCCTGCAACATACGATGCTTCTCTGCCTCCAGACCAGTGCGGCAGTGGGCAAGGACTGGAGCTGCTTTCTCTGGGGGAACCTGGCTACCTACCACTTCTCCTTCCAGGGAAGAGGAGTTGGTATTCAGATGCTCTGGACTCAGAACAAGCCCCGCTTTCATCTGCGCAGTGTGTTTAATACACTTTAAAATCCAAAGGAATAATTCTCTGGTGGCTTGTGTGGATTTTGTAGGAGGATTAAATGAGTCGAGACTGATCATTTACAAGAGCAAAATCACCCCTAAAGTGAATTTGGGGATTCTTAAATGTGAATTTTAGTACATGTTGGGAATATTATTTTTCTCTGTGAACGCGTTTCTAGAAAATTGTATGTTAGTGGGGAAAATATGATCATTTGGGCTTAGATAATTCAAATGAATTATTTCAACCTAAAAGAGCTTTTTATGGGAGATGAAATTTAACTTTAAAAAACCACTTGAGTTATTAAATTAAACTTTTTGCTACTTATAGCAATGGCGTTACAGATAAATAGAATGCTTCTTCAGCTTCCACGGGTTCTTCTTAAACAATGGCAGAGCTCTAAACACCTATGTAAATGTGTCAAGATCCCCTTGTAGAGAGCTGAGCAGAGAGCTGCTCCCTGGGCACTGTGTTTGCTGGGGTGGAACTTCCTTGTCATTAATTGTGAATACCCCTGGCATGGTTTCTGATTTCCAGATTCATGAAATAGTTTGTAGGCAGTAAAAACAGCATGTATCTGTAGCTTTCTAGTTGGCAAAGGGTTTAACATCAAATCTCTTACTGCCATCTCTTGATCATGAACAAGAATATAAATATTAAGGGGCTAGAGCTACGATTTGCTTCTGCAAATAATTGATTTTGTATTTTGCAATTCCTCCTAAAGCTTTGGCTCACACTGGACATAATGCCTTTTCATACCATTGTGGTGATGTTGGGGGATATCATTGCAAGGAGGCTGAGTACCCTTGGTACCACCTCTTAGGACAGCTGGGAGCCTTGTGCATGTCCTGCGGCCTTTCTGGACTACAGTTTTCATGTCTACACCTTGGGGATAACACTACCTTACCTGCCTCAAGGCGTGGCATTTGGGCAGTGGATTATTTGAGTTCCCCACCGGCTGCCAAGTCTGGTGGGTTCTAAAATCTCATCTGCACTAGTCTCACCTCCAGACTGATCGTAAGAATGAGAGACCCAGGACACTGACCCCCTGCCTGTGCTGCGGTGGGAAGAATTTGGGACTATATGGGAGCATTTAGCAGGTTATGATAATTTGACCTACTAGAGAGCCCAGCAGGACCACAGAGGTCATCTAGTTTCAGCCGTCTGCACTCACAAACAAGGAAATAGACCCAGGGGGAATATGGTGCACTCACAATGGCACAGCAAATGCTCAGGGTAATCATGAGTCCTTTTCTGACTCTTCTCTATTCTCAATAGTGGCAGGCTTGATCAAAGAGGGACAAAACACTGAAGGATGCAGCTGAGTCAAAACTGACCGAGAAGCTCCTTGTGTCTGTGGCTCGCCCCTTGGTTTGGGTGTTGTGGAGGGAACTTGGGCTCTGGGTATGTGCCCTGGGGAGGTGGGCAGCTGCATTTTCCCCAAAGCAACTATTTTAGTGATGTCATGGGTAGTTGAAGATGCTCGCCAAGGGACAGACCTGGCCCTTGCGCAGTTTTCCAGACGCAAGCCTTTTTGTTAAAAGGCACAATTAGTGGTCATGAAAAGCTGGTGGGGCTTAGCGGTCGGAGAGATATTGAAGATCGCCCCACCTGTCCAGCCTGGGTTAGGCTGGGGGAAAATCCCCTCTCTGGAGAGTTCCGATTAATGGCTCAGTAGATTCACAATCACCGCATGCTATTTTTTCACCACACTGTGTCGAGGAGTCAGTAAATGTAAGATGGCAGCTCCCTCCGCTCTAGGTCCTTTGTCTGGGAGTCTCATTTCTCATGAAAAGTACATGGAGCTGAATTCTCTCTGGTGTCCTCTTAAGGATGCCAATGAGGCTGTCTCCCAGCGGAGACCACCAAAGAAGAGGGGGATGAGGTGTGGTGGCTTTGCCATATGTGTGTGTGTGTGTGTGTGTGATTGGGGTGTGGGCGGTGGGTGTCGGGGTGGAGGGATCTTGAAGTTCAAAGATGAAACCCACCCACATTGCTGAAGCCAGCAATTGTGAACTCAGCCCTGCGGATATAGCCCATCTCCATGATTTAAGCCATATAAACGATCCCTTTTGGCTCAACTTGTTTCACTTATGTAGATGGCCTACATTTGCGTCATTCTCCAGTCTGTTGGTAATAATCTGCTTGGAGGCTGTTTGGGAATATGTTTGCATATTAGTTAAAGTGGGTAGAGGACAAAAGGTCTGGAAACTGGGTGAATTAAAGCTTGGAATGGGTATGCTGAAGAAGAAGCCAAGTGGGGATTATTTTGGTGCTTTGTGGATTATTGGCCGGGTGCGCTTTATGAACTAAAGATGGAATTATTATTCACAAATATATTCTTTCTCCTATGGAAATCATATTGCTTATTGCCATATGGGCGTGTGGGAGTGCAAACAGGAAAATGGAACCAATCACACTATCTCCTGAGTCACAGCTCTGGTGTCCCGGGGCTTGGGGCCAAGAGGTTCCTTCTCTCCTTGGCTTCGTAACCTTGGACAGGAGCACCACCAGTCAGTCCTGGTGATGGAGCTGACACTTTCCAAAGCCCATTCACACAGGAGATGCTCCCCTTACTGCAGAACAGGACAGAGGTATGCTGATGAAAAGGTAACCAGCACTGACCACAGTGCTGGACAAAGGAGTCCCTTTATCCAGGATTCCTGCTATACCAGAAGACTTTGAGGCAGATTGGTGTTCGGTGATCATAGAAGACTTCCTGGGAAATGAAAAAAAACAACAATAAAAAGCCTATTTAGGAAGGTGTTGGAAGAGGGGTAGAACTCTGATGGGTGGGGAAAGGAAAAGGATCACAGGAGAGCAGGAAAAACGATACTCAAGGCATTGTCTGTGGGGCTGAGGGAAACTTTCTGTGGTTAAATCTTTATTTGTGAAGTGAGACAGATGTTGGTGAAAAATTGTCCGGTCACTTGTTAGTGACGCTCTTAATTCCAGGGAAACTCTCAAAGGGTGATAGGGAGTCCGCGATCCGGCTCTCATTGGCAATTTGTTTCTGAGCTGTGCAGACAGACGCCTTATGATTGCCTCCGATATTATCACGTGATGTTTAACTCTGGAGGCCACATGTTGGCGCCCGTGAAAGAGCGCTTCAGTCTTCAGAGGAAAAATGTTTGGCTTCAAGGATGTGCTTCCCAGTGAAGCCAGACTAATGGGTAAATGTGAGAGCCTCTGAATCTTTAGAAAATGATTTTTTTCCTTTCAGTTTTTCACACGTCGCCCCTAAGAATTTAGAAAATACAGATGAAGGAGTAAAGATTGCCTATTATTTATTTCATTTGCCTATTAATTATCTCATATAAACAAAAGCTGAGTTTTTATGGCATCTCATCAATATTATTACAAAATGACGTTGAATGAAATGATGTTATTTGAGGACCTGCAATGTGTCATTCCAAGTTTTTTTTCTTGGAATGTGTGCATATACAGTTTTCATGTATTTTATTTAAGTGGGGTTCTATTGTATATAGTGAGTTGTAGCCCACTTTATTGTCTAAACAATAGGTTTTATGACATTAAAATTCTTTTAAAACATGAATTTAAATGATAGTCCATTGTAAGGACATATTTATTTTGTGTTTGTTTGGATAACTTCCTTTTTAAACAACTTTTAAAATGATAATAGTGCCATAGAGAATATCCTTATAGAT